AAAAGAAGGATGTGGAGATTTCATTATTTTTACTAAATTTCTTTTCTTTTTGGCTATTCTGTTGAATTGTAGAATTAGCTCAGTATCACCCAACACCTCCTTTGAGCCCAGAATTGCCTGGTAGTTACCAGAAGGAGTTCAAAGAGAACAAAGAGCCCTCTCCAAAGGCAAAGCGCAAGCGAAGTGTGAAGATCAGCAGCCTGGCTTTGGAATCTGTGCATTGGCAAAATGACTCTGTCCAGATCATAGAAAGTGCCAGTGATTTAAAGAGCATGGATGAATTTCTTCTGAAAAAGGTATACTTTGAATGCTGAGTTAGGTTCCTGAGCAGCTTTGACTATGGAATACTTTTATATATCAGGATATGGCCCTTAGAGATCAAGGTGACATATGCTTTATTAAATTAGATGGTCTTTCCTTTTCGAAAAAGGTGTAAATAATATACATTAGTCAGTCTGGGTAAACAGAATTTTACTTTAGCTGTCATGTTATATATTCCATATGTGAAGATGAGGCTTGTTATTGCATACCATACTTGAAGTGGTTTTTCTGGTAGCACTATAGAATCATAAATGTTAGAAAGGACCTTAGAAAATCATCTAGCAATAATAAAACTTTGGCTATTTAGTCGTGCTTTTACCTATAATAGAGTGGTTTGCACTTTCAGGACAGTCATATGTGTTTGCGTGGGCCAACGCCCTGACACGGTGCCCAGTTAAAGCGACTTCATAGAGTACAGTGTGGAGGGGCCCATTCAGGGGATTCTTACAATTTATAACAGTTTCAAAAGCCATCGAGGAGGAGAGGGTCTGGGCCGTGACAGGCACAGAGTGGGCGGCCCCTTTAAAGACCTGACAGGAAAGAGCAGGATAACTCCTGATCAGGGGAGCAGACCTTCGATCAGAGGTGAGTGACAGCCCCTGAGGTTGAATTCCTCGTGAAAAATGGGACTAATACGATTTTATTTATTTAATCCTCACCCGAGGACATTTTTCCATTGATTTTTAGGGAGAATGGGAGAGAGAGGGAGAGACAGAGAAACATGGATGTGAGAGAAACACATCCATTGGTTGCCTCCTGCATGAGCCCTGACCAGGACCCAGGCCGGGAAGGAGCCTGTAACCAAGGTACGTGCCCTTGACCGGAGTCGAACCCGGGACCCTTTGGTCCGCAGGCCGATGCTCTATCCACTGAGCCAGACTGGCTAGGGCAATAATAATGATTTTAAAGGAGAGATGCGAGGGTCGGAGAAAATGTCGCAGGGTGAGTCAGGAGGATGAACCGGGCCCTCAGCATGCCTGGCACACAGTAGGTGCTCAGCCCCGGCCTTTGTCTGCCCCGCTCTGAAATTCTCTCCCTGCCGCAGCAGTGGCTGGAGGTGCCACTCTGTCTGTTTTTGGCCGTGCACGTCCAGCTCATAACAATACAGTCCTGCTCCTTGTCAGCTCTTCTGCACTTTTATTTATGCTCCTGCCAATCCCGGGGCTCGCCATGTGGGAACCTCTTCATTATTGATAATCCCGGGAAGTAGTATTTTAAATTTTTATGATCTGTACTTTGCGCCATCTGAACCGCCATGTATTATCTGGCCTGGCCAGCGGAGGGGGTCCATCCAGATGAGGGTCCTCCCGGGATGAATAATTTATCCTGTTTTCACAATGCCGTCCCTTCACCATGATGGTAAATGATGTTCTCCGTGCCCGCCGCCCACGGGACAAAGGGACTGATACAGAAACAGGAGAAGGAAACACATTTATTTCTTTGCTCAGATCCACAATGATAGTTGGAAAATCTGGAGGTTCATTTTTTCCAAATATCTCTAAAACCACCCCTTTGAGTAGTAAGGCGAGTAGAGAGAATTTTTCCTGCGCTCTCTCTACCTTTGCCCTATTTCTGTTATTATTCAAGGAGCTCGGGGCTCTGTTTTGCTCCATTTTTTCCCACTGCTGAGAATAGAGCCTTTCTTCGCACATGCGTTTCCTCTTCCCTTTCTCTGCTGTGCGAGCTGAGTCCTCCAAGGTCCAGTTAATAACGACTGGCTAGCATTTCAATGCTTTCCCTTCTTGGCATTAAAAAAAAAGTGGGTGTTACCGCATCTCTTCAACAGAAGGGGGTTTCTGGCTCTTCTCCCTGAGAACCGAGCAGGGAGCCGCAGGCCACGCCTCGCAGCCGGTGGGTTCCGGTACCTTCATTGGGCTGGACTTGCCTGCTTCCTCATCTCCCCAGTGTTCACTCCTCTCCCTGGATGCACACCTACAGCCCTTCCCTGCTCTGCACCCCTCAGCTCCTCACCGCCCTCCAGTGCAGCTCCAGGGCTTGGCCCGCCATCCTGAGCTCTGCCGCCCTCACACGCCTGCCCTGGCTCTGGCCACTCGGAACCACCTGCTTGTCGTTTCCCCGGCGCCGCCTCCGTCTCTGAGTGTGTGCTGCTGCGTGCTGCCCACTCGGCGTTGAAAGCTCATGTCCCCGGGTTTGGGGAGGCAGGAAGGGAAATGGGGAAGCTGGCAGGGCCAACGTTCCTGGAGGGATGATGATGCTCTGGACAGGGTGGCAGAGGTGTGACTGCATAAATAGGTCGACTTGGGAGACATCTCTGAGGAAGCAGGAGCTGGCGATGGAATGGATTTGGGATGAAGGGAAGGCAAGGGTCATGGGAGACCCCTGGATATGATTTGACATACATGATGGTGTGGCTAATGCTGCTACTTCCTGAGCTGGGGGTGACCTGGGGAAGAAAATGTCGAGGGGCGTTGAGCCGATCCAAGGGCCGATGTCCGGTGGGTCCTCTGAGCGCTGGGTGGGGTCCCGGGGTGCTGTGCAGTGAGAGCTATGAGGGTGCAGCGGACTTGGAAGAGATGGAGTGTGAGCACTAAGAGGAGAGAGGGAGAGACATCGATCGGCTGCCTCCTGCACGCCCCCGACTGGATTGAGCCTGCAACCCGGGGAATGTGCCCCGACTGGGAATCGAGTCAGTGACCTCTTGGTTCATAGGTCAACACTCAGCCACTGAGCCACACCAGCTGGGCTGGGAGGAGCTTTTGATTGAAGATAGAAATGATGCTGGAGGAGCAACCACAAAATGTTTATTATGACAATTAGAACGATGCTGCCTGTAGTGACTATTCATTGTCTCATTCCAATAGTAGTTTATTTTTAGTTCTGTCTCCTGTTTCAACATGTCGGCTACAGCACAGGGCCTTTTAAGTTTTGATGGAACAATGAAAACGGTTTTGAGCTGTTGAGAAGCTTTGGGACAGATGTTTATAAGAGAGGAAGAGGAAAGGACTAGGACACAGGTGCTTGGTAGCGTCTGCTGTGATGTGCCGGCACTTGGCCAGTCTGCTGGCTAAGGATCTAGGTAGGAAGGGATCAAGCCAAGCGATCACTGAGATGGACTTGGCAACGTGGGAAGCTGTATTCGTTTTATTTTTTATTTTTTAAAATATATTTTTATTGATTTCAGAGAGGAAGGGAGATGGGGAGAGAGAGATAGAAACATCAATGATGACAGGGAATCACTGATTGGCTGCCTCCTACACGTCCCCCACTAGGGATTGAGCTCACAACCCAAGCATGTGCCCTTGACCGGAATCAAACCTGGGACCCTTCAGTCCCCAGTCTGACACTCTATCCACTGAGCCAAACCAGCTAGGGCCTGTATTCATTTTCTACTGCTGTGTAACAAAATACCAAAAATTAAGTGGCCTGAAACAACACAAATGTATTATCTCACAGTTTTTGTAGGTCAGAAGTCCAGGCACCGACGTTGGGTTCTCTGCTCAGGGTCTCTTGGGTCTGAAACCAAGGTGTCAGGTGGGCTGCATTCTTACCTGGCACCCGGAGCCTCTCCAAGCCTGTTCAGGTTGTTGGCAGACTTCAGATACTTGTGGTTGCAGGACTGAAGTTCCCATGATCTTGAATGACCCATTGTTGGCTGAGCTCACTTTCAACTTCTAGAGGCTGCTCTCAGGTACTAGTGCATGTCCCACTCACAACATGCCAGCTTCCTCCTTCAAGGCCAGTCTGCTATGGTGAGTTGTGTATGTCATAACGTCATTAGAGGAGTGACTATCACATACACAGGTCCTACCCACACTTTCGAGGGAAGATATTATACAGTACATGCACACTGAGTGGGGATGGGAACCTGGAGGCCCATCTTAGAATGCTGCCTACCATAAGCTGCCCAGGCTTTGGCTCACAGGCACCCTGACTGGTTAAAGAGGGGTTATGTTATGATTATTGTCCGGATTTCACAGGTGAGGCCCTGAGGCCCAGGCAGCTTTTGCGTTCCCTGTAGCGCTGTGGCTCTCGGCATAGTCACAGGTCATCTGTCAGGCTTCGTTCTCCTCCACTCTGCCTGCACAGTGGGACAGAGTTCCCTCCGCACATGTCTAGGCAGTTTGCAAAATATTCAGACTTTAAGAAAACAACATAGATCTAATAGACCTTTATGTTTTTGTTTGTGGAAGTCCCTAAATCAATTCAGAATTACTACATGTGCCAGGGTTTAGCTACAGGATGTTCACCATAGCTTGTTTGTATAACCCAAACTGGAAGCAATCTAAATGTTCAACGATAGAGATTCTGTGCATACACTGAATATTATGCTGCATCAAAAGGCAAAATACATATTTGTCTATGTGGAAAATGTTAGTGTAGTGTTGTGTGATATAAGCAGGTTATAATTCATAGAGTGCAAAGCCATCATAAAGAGGACCTATGTATTTGCCTAAATCACAAGTATGCATAACACCCGCATCTATATACATATAAAACATCTGGAAAGGTGTGACCAAATCCTTGGCCATGGTGGTCTCTGTTGGAACGGGGAAGTGTGATGGGTAATTTGAATTTTCGGTTTCCTTGCGTGTGCGTGAGAGGGAGGCTCTCTGTTTGCTGCTCGTACGCACAGTGCCATGATCCTAGTGAAGAGAGGACAGGGAGGGTGTGGTGTGTTTGCAGTCTCCATGCGTGTTAACTCCGCTTGCACATTCCAGGTGATCGTGAAGACAAGAACGGAGTATCAGCCCGAACAGAAGAACAAAGGGAAGTTCCGGGTGCCGAAGATCGCCGAGTTTACGGTCAGTGTCTTGATGGTGTAGAGAGAGATAAAGGTAAGGCAGGTAAGGCGGCTCCGGCGGCTCAGAGCCCGCGCGAGTGCAGCAGGTCCTACTGGAGACAGGAAACGACAGGCTATTTCTGGACCATTTCTTGGGGCCACACTGTCTGGGTCACTGAGTCTAATCAAATAACAGAAGCGCTGCCTCTTGAGGGTGACTCACGCTCTCTTCTGCTCCGGAATGTTCGGATAATTTGGTAACTGATAAGTGTGCCTCCTTTCTTCTTTTTCCTCCTGTCCCCATCTCCCTGCCTGCCCGGCGCAATCTCCAGGAAATGTGTAAGGAAACTCAGGAAACTCAGGTTTTACTCAGTAGACGGTTGCAAGAGAATCCAATAAAAACAAAGGGAAGAAGCTGACTTTCCAGTGGAAAAGCAGATGGTTGCCTTTCTGTTCCCTGGAGGAGGGGTCACGAGGAAAAGTGACCAACCTATGTCATGGGGACGAGTTGCGTGGAGGAGCCGAGGAGCCTGCTCTGTGGAAGGAGGAGCCCCGGGAAGTTTTCTGGACTTTAGTGGCGAGGAGAGCTCGGCTTGTGCAAAGGCCCTGAGGCTGCAGAGAGTCTGGCCCCAACACTGAATCAGGAAAGGGGCAACGAGGCTGGGTTGTAGGAGGGCCACAGGGAGCAGGTAGAGATGAGGCAGGGGGAGTGGGCAGAGCGCTGACAGTCCCAGGTCTAGCTCACGTGTGGAGAGTTGGGGTTTCATGCTAGAAGCCTCTGAAAGATTTTAGAAAGGGGCAAGACATGATTGAATTTGGGTTTTGACCAAAGCACTGGCTTTTATGTGGCTGATGGGCTTAGAGGGCAAGAAGGACTGTGGGGAGACTCAGGCTACTGCAAGGGTCCGAGTAAAAATCAACAGTGGCTCAGACAGGATGGCAAGTGGATAGAGAGACGTGGGACGACCTAACGAGAATGAGGCGGCAGTGAGCCGCGGAGGCAGCAGGACAGGTGGTCCTGGGGCGGGCGGTGGAGCATCTGGCTGGGCTTGAGCCGTGTGGCCCCAAGAGGGCGTAGCCTCCGTTACCAAATGGAGACAATAGCATTGCTGTGAGGATGACACAGAGTACACGCAAAGCACTTGGCTCCGTGCATGGCAAGCACACAGCTAACAGTAACTGTTCGTGTCAACGGGGACTGGGGCCTTCGATAGGCAAACAGCGCTGGCAGGTTGTCTGGGAACTGGCGGGTGAACATGGATAAACACACTGGTCTGTTTCTGGTCCTCTCTGTCCTTGTGCCAGATCCGTGTTCCTGCAGCCGGTGCATGAGCTGGAGGGATGTGGCATCTCCCCGAACCCCCTCTTTGAGAGCAGGGGGGCTCTTATTGCTGGCTGCAGCTGCAGTGTCTGGCACACAGCAGGGGCCCAGGAAAGGCGGCCTCGGCCTGAACCGTGGGCAGGTGCGGGTAAGGGGTGTCATACACACGCACCAGGCCTGGGAGTGAAGCCGACCTGTCTCCTGGCGGCAGGGGCTTCAGAAACATGCACAGAGTCACGTGGAAGACAGTGTTGGGGAAGCTCGGTCACCAGTAGCTCTCTCTCCATCCTGTGCATAGGACCACACCCATGGGGTGGGCTATTTTAACAATTTCCTAAGAATCACCTTTTTTAGAGGAGTTTACGATTAATCACAGGCTTATGAGGTATTTTCCTTATCTTATTATTTCCATGTGCTTTCCACATTTCATATGAGCACATACTACTTCAATAATAATAAAAATTAGAGGGGTTTTTTAAAATTTGCTCTTTTTACCAAATAGTGTTACAAGTTCTTTTTTAAAAAATCTTTATTGTTGAAAATATGACATAGGCCCTCCTTTTCCCCATGAACCTCTTCCAGCCGCTCTCCCCGCCCCCCAGGCCCTCACCGCCCTATTATCTGAAACTACTTCTCATCCAGCAGTCATTTGAAATGGTGGTTATGAAGGCGTAATAGTTCACACAAATACTCCGCAGAGAAGATGGTGTGGAGAAGGCAGAGATCACAAGTGTGTGTTCCCTGGGAGGAGCTCTGAAAAAACACCAGCGGGTGGAGGAGAGGACGGGAGAGAAAGGAGTCAGATTGGACT